AGCATCTTCGGTAACAACTAGTAAATCAGTAAGGCGGCCTTGTAAGTGAATACCACTCCGAGGCTGCTGTGAAAAAGGCATTGCTGTATGCCAGTAAGGCAAACCATAAGTTTAGGGAGAAAAAATCGATTTCAGCAGCATCTATTGTAATACTAAATGCTCAGAAAGTCATCTATGGTTACGAATAGAATGACAAGCGAAGTCACCTTAGGCACATGCTGATAAAAGGTCAACGCGATGATCGCGAAGGCTGAAGAGCTGCAAAAGACGGCGACGATAGATAACACAAAACTGTTTCGACTCATCAATACAAGTAATCTATCTGTTGGCGAAACTATCTCAGATAAGGATGTACATATTATTCATTCTCAATCCAGATGATTGGGCAGAACACTTCAGAGATCAGTTCAATTGGCCTTCAGCCACGTTTCAGTTGCCCACGATTTCCAATCGACCTGAATGGCAAATCGACGTAAGCCGTCCGATAATATATGAAGTTGGGAAAGCTATAGGAAATCTAAAGCGAGTCGAAAGCAGCAGGTCCTGGTAGGCTAACTCCTGAGATTTTTAAGGATGGTGGTCCAGTTTTAGCAGTCGGATTGACTGAGTTCTTAGGTAGAATTTGGAAACTGGACGTAATCTCATCTAACTTATCGCAGTCACTGATTGTCCCAATTCATAAGAAAGGACAAAGGTCCTCTTGTGACAGTCACAGGGGGATCAGTCTACCTAATATAGTTTCTAAATTGTCAACCTCGATTATACTTCGACGCCTCACTAAAGCTTGTGAAGAGCAGACTAGAGAAAAGCAGGCTGGTTTTAGACATGGACGTTGATGTATAGACCATATATTCTCTCTTCTTCAAGTCCTGGAACATAGACACATTTCGGCGTCCCACTTTAGTTGTATCCCTTGAACTCAAAGCGGCAATTGACTCTTTCGATCGAGAGATTCTGTAGCAGTGTTTGTCATTAAAAGGTGTACCAAAAAATACATTAACATTAAGTTTAATACTCGAACACTTCTGGTCCAATTAGAGCGTATGACGAACTGCCATCAGGAGTGACTACTTCAAGTGGTGTTCGTCAGAGTTGTCCACTTTCTCCATTCTTATTCAACTTTGTCAATGACATGCTTTTAGGTTTGCTTGTTAACTTGGAATATGCCGATGAACCTAAACAACAATCCATTCAAAATGCAAAATTTTGTTTCAAGATTGGCTTTTATCGGCACCTAAACTAATGATAGGGAGTGGAGCAGTTGAATATGTCGACTGCTTCAATGTTCTTGGAATTCTCATCAGTGCTGAAGGCCTGGTATGTGGTGGAATCTCGGCACATATACAGAAGGCTCGACTGGCTTTCGCTAGTTTTGTCGTTGACGGCATAGGCGAATTATCCATCTGCTAATCAAATAACGAGTTTACTGTACAACAGTTCGCTCCCTCTTACTAAACAGTTTTCAAAGGGTCAGTAAGAATAGAAGAAATTCGTATTTTACTGGTATTCCGTCGTCGGTGTCTTCGAAGCATTGCTCGTATGTTCTGCGACTATCGAGTAAACAATGCAGTTGTTAGGAGAACAGTAGTAGGTTAGGATGACAGACCAATAAATGTAATGTTGAAACTTCACAAGTTGAGGTGGTTGGGTCTTGTATAACGAATGCCTCGTCGAGCTATGTTCTGCAATGTAGGAGTAAGTGGGAAGAAAGCTAGGGGCGACCAAACCAAAGCATAGCAGAAGTCCATGAAGTCACTGACAACTGGATTGAGTCATGTTATTAAGTGTAGACTACCTGGTTGGGGTATATTGATATTCTTTCACACATCTATATTTAAGGCACAAGCTATGGACTGTGAATACTTAAACTTATAGAATATGTTGTACCTCAGGCTTTCAAAGCATAGGTTTTCAGACCTAAAATTGTATACGCTGTTTAACATGTTAATGGATTGATTATGACGATTATGCATTTGTGAATTCATTCACGCCCTCAGTATATTTGAAATGATGTTACAAGTATAATTAAGAGTTTTAACAGTATTTTTCGAAAATACGATATATGATTGGTGGGATACGTATTCAAATTTTATTCGCGATTTTTCGGTTAGTATGTAAGTCAGATTAATATCAATTTGCGAGTAAAGTGCATTTAGTTATAAATTTGATTCAGGTGTGTTTAATGTATGACGATCAGTTAGAAAGTATGGTTACGAGTTGGTCGAACTATTTAGGCATTATTGTTATGTGCTATGTATCATAAATAACAGTAACACAGAAAACAACCAATACATTTACGTTTATTCGTGATGATTATATTTTACTAACAAAACTATACAGTGGGAAACTCAATTATAACATCATTTGACGAACCGGTACTTCTCTCCTAAAGGTATAAAAAAACGAAATAAATTTTATTTCATAGCTTACCAGTCAGTTATGAATTCGTTGCATGATGATATACGTTGTTTTATTTCTCCAATTAATTCTTTCAAATTTTTAACATAAGAAAGCAAATGTTTCAGTTCTTTAGTCTGGAATGTCGTGTCGTAGTCTGAAAAGAAATTAGGGATTGTACAACTTTGTTCAAATGATTGATTTAACAAAATTAGTCAGTTGTTGATAACTTTGCCTGAATACTATTCACTATCAATAAATGAATATTGCTTTATCTGCGTATACAAAAATAGAAAAAAAAATAACAGTTTAAATTGTAGCATTTGTTGCGTTACAAAGAAAGTTATCTTACTTTGCAGTTTTTCACTAGTATGAAATTCTTTGTTCAAATTCACTACAAGATAACGTAACAGTTTGAAACTATTCTCCGCTAGCCAACTTTCTCGGATTTGTGTCAGAATACATTTTAGTAGGACATCTGGAATCTATAACACAAACAGACAAACCAAAAATATTCATTTTCAAAACTTATTTACTATTCACACTGATCCGCTTTAGTCACTTAGAAACCCAAAATAGTATTTTATTACGTGTTGCTCTGTTACACATAAAACTAATGACAAGAAAAAACAAATAATGCCGAAACTATGCAGCTATGCTGAGAATTCATTCAAACTACGGCATTAGTAAGGTATACAAGAGCTCTCTATTCCGTCATAACTTGAACCTACGTGCTAATCAAGGACTGGGTGTTTTTGTAGATAAAACATATCTCTGTACGATGGTGTAACTTAGAGTCACTTTGTTCTAATCACTTACTAATTTATTAACTCTCTTACCCCTAATGAAACAAAGGCTGCGATCAAGAACCTCCAACCAACTTCCTCCTGAGCTGGTTGCTACCGAGTGATCTTCATTCTTTTGATACCTACCTTCAATTCCCGGAGCCATGTGTTAATAGGTCTACTTTCTTTTCGTTTTGAAAAATCCGAGTCGCAGCTTACCTGGTGGTGCAGTTTGATAGTTTAACCAATTTTTCTATCCACTACTAACGTTTTTCCCCAGTTTTCTTCAGCTAGAGCACGGTTGTTCTCTGCTATTCAGTTAACTGTTCGCGATTTGACCAGTTGAAGGTCCACTGGATCTTCATTGCGCTAAGCAACACTGTTGAAAACATTACCTTCGTAATATCAATGTAGGTCCTGGATTGACTAAGATCTTTCTTCAGTATCTTGATGAAAAACGTTGAATATTTTTGCAGTTGCTTTTATATCTGATTTTAGAGTTATCTCTTCCTTAATCTTTTTTCCAAGTGGTTTCAGTTCTGACAACAGATCTTACAAGTTGTTACTGAGATCTTTCTTAAACTCGTTTAGCTTGTTACAGAAATGCAGTCTTCTGACTACTTTCACCAATAATGCAAGCATGTTTGAGATACAATCCACCCTCTCGAAATGCAAAACTTATCTTCATAAATGGCTTGCATCGGCACCTAAACTAGTGATAGGGAGTGAAGCAGTCGAGCATGTCGACGGCATCACTTATCTTGGGAGTCTCATCAGTACTGATGGCCTGGCGAAGTTTTGGCACGGGTACAGAAGGCTCAACCGGCTTCTGCCAACTTGCGTCACCTATGGCGTGGGCGAGATATCCGTCTATCAATCAAAGGACGAGTCTACTGCGTAGAAGTTCGGCCCGTCCTATTATATTGGTGTGAAATGTAGCCAGTTAGAGTATTAGTTAGCTTCGACACCACTAGGTGGTGATCTGAACCTAAATAGTTAATTGATAAATATATGATTGATCTGCTTCTCCATAGCAAGGTTTGCTAAAAGCCCTGTAGCCCAGTATTTGATTACGTTCGAGAGAATTCTGCCACTAATAACCATGTTACAAATACAGCTTTCAGCCTCGCAGTTTTCCTTTGTTTCTTTTAGTCCATGATGCGTGTGAACCACGTGTCTTCAGTACATTTTTGAGCATTTTTCTAGAATAATCTTTACCATTTTTACTCGAATCATTTGTAGATGCATATCAATTAATGATATCCTTATATATATATCCTATCCTGTCCCGAAGGATGTCTCGATGGTCCTCGAGCCATGGCTGGTCCATCCTGTAAGAGCCTATGTGCGTGTTGCACATTCATCCTCGCGAATAGAGTACAACACCTCTTCCGAAGCTAGTCATGTGTCTAATGAGTTTCACTTATTCCCAGCAAATCTAGATTATCTCATTTCTCTGGCTATTTGAATGACCCTCTAGACTCTTCACTTAGTTCAGATATTCCATGTCCATATTTTTGTTTAGCTGCCAAAAGGGATTCCAACGTTGCCTTCCGAAGAATCTTGGCTTTTATTACGAGAATTCATAACTCTTCCATGTGAAGGCTATCCGAATCCCAGGGTAGATTTTAATAGGTGTGATTTATTTAATGTGGTGAGCATCATCTTTATAAAAGGAGGTTGCCAATTCGACGGTTAACCTCCTATCTAGATTTGCGAGCGGTAGGCGGCTCTGTTTCTTAATTACCGATTCATAAACATCTTGGTAGACAGCTTTTGCATTTATGTGTCTAAATACAGAATATTTCGACAGCTCAAGATTTTAAAGTCGTATGCTCTATTTACTTGAAGACGTTTTAAATGACAGATGTGTAGGTCAGGTGGATGCTTTTTGACTTTGCTTGTCTGCGCTAGATGGTTTAATTATGAATTATTTGCTTAAGGTATGGTCCAGAAAAACATCGAAAGCTTCGTAATGAAACAATCTTGCCCAAAGCTAATATCATGAATAAGATCTCAACAGGATTCTTAGTCGAATAAATGCAGGGACGTGAACAGTTATAGAGAAACTTAGTTAGACTTCAAAATTAATTATACCAAAATCCTCATAAATTATAATTAACGGTAAAATGATATTTTGATTGCGGTTGCCATGAATGACTCACCTTGAGATTTGGTTCCAGAGAATATAATTTACAGCAATTTATGTATAAACCATCAGTACGCAGAATATTGGCATAAGTATTTCCACTGTAGTGAAGAAGGAAATCGAAATATAAATTCTGTAGGCACAATTAGTAAAGATTAGTGATAGTACGATTAGTCCTTCAATAATATACGGCAATAATGAAAGTCCAAGAAGTGTACAAACTTGTCACTTAAGCAAAATCATCGTATCTATATGGTCAATGCCAACTTATCTACAATGACTGGCTATGAAGTAAAGCGCGAAATTCATTGCACTATCAATGATATTTTAACAACACTGAACCTCTATTGACTCATACACTAAGTACTTGAATATGAACCACATTCTGGTTGCGAGGGCCAACGACATTACCCGGATACCTAAATGGAAATATCTAAAGTAGAGTTTGAAGCAGGGAAATATTGATAGAGTTGGACATCTTACCAATAAGCCATCATCCCACAACCTGCCTGGCATGGCAAGATCTCGAAGAACAAATATTCCAGCTAATATAGCTCATTGAACCATCACGAAAAGCAAGCGCAACCACGATATCAGGGTATCAATGAAAATAGGTAACCGCTATGGAAACAAATGTTCATTTTTATGTCTTCTACCAGCTATTAGAGAAAATATACTCGTTATTATGAACTGTGCCAAAGCGTTGTATGTCAGAGCGATTAAATTACATGCTTTTCGTATACGCATGAGTTTAAAAAACCTGTTACGTAAATATCGTGATTTATGATCACTGCTATGAATTATCATGATATATGCTCAAGTATCGTCGACTTGTAAATAGAAAGCTCTATAGATATAGTTTGAAATATCAACAAATGTAATTTAGTGATCAATCACATTGAAAGAGAAAATAACACGAGCTTGGTGAGAAAATATGTACATAAGTGCATAAAAAGTCCATAGAATATACAATTACATGAATAATTTACCTGGGAAATGTTCTCTCGTTAAGTGAAATATCTTGAATCCTTTCACTAATATCACGCAGTAAGTTGTTGCTCGTCAGTTCATGCACTATTTGATGTGTATCGGTTATTTGATCCGAAAGTTGCTGCTTAATTTGTTTCGTCTAATTTTAATGAATTTTGTAAGTGTTAAGAATATGAGTAGACCAAAGGAGAAAATTTATTTGGACATAAATATATTGTTTAATTATAAATGAACACTAACATGATACCTGACCATGTAACGAAATCGCAATCACCAGTCAATCATTGTTAGACTACCATTAGAAACCCGAGGGCACCGGACATCCGTTTCGTCCTGGAATAGGACTTATCAGCAGTACGCACTTACGACTCCTGCACCTCGCAGGACTTCCGATCTTGCGCGCGAACGCCTAACCACTGGACCACTAGGACGGCATCCAACGGCGTTAATGTCGAACTCTGATTAATCTACATATTTTGCGCAACCCCACCCGCTTGTCTTTGGTAGTTACTGCCTATACCCGACAGGGTTGAACTCCACTGGTCACGTCTTCTCGATAGAACTCTGAGAATTTCCTCACGAAGATAGTCACTAGTGAGCACATTTTGCGATTTTTTCAACTAGAGTTATGGAGATTATTGTTTTTACAGATTGAAATCATCAGCCAATCATTGTTAGAGTACCATTAGAAACCCGGAAGCACTGGACAGCCGTCTCGTCTTGGCAAGGGACTCATTAGCAGTCGCGGATGTGCACTTCTACAAACATGGCTAAGGCTTATCAAAATACTTTATGAACTTAAGTATTACTGATAAATTATCAAACCATATATCCCATCCGAATTCCGTCATACGGGAAGACTTCGCTTTTGACCCAATTTAGAGGCAATTGTATGTATTTTTATTAAACAACTATTTGCTTGGGTCAATTCACTTTGACCGCTCAAAAGTGTATGATGAAGTGAGCTTATTGTATTAAGTCTTTAAGGAAGCAAATCTAAAAAGCACTTTCAGCTAAGTAGATTTTAGAGAGCTTGAAATTGTATCACTTTGTAGCTACACGGAAAAGAGTGTTAAGATTTCGTATTAATTAGTGTGGTCCATAGCGAGAATTCCAGGATTAATAATTTATTTGAAAACAAACTAAACTTTTACCATATTTCATTCACTAAGTGTTTAGGATCTGTTCATCCATAATTTTCAATATAAAAACGTCGATTGAAATTGATATGAAATTCACCTACCTGACGACATATTAAAGGGAGATTATCTAACAGCTTTTCATTTTCTTCATGCAGACGGTGAATCATTTTCCATTTCTCTTCCTTTAAACATTACGAAATAAAACAAAGATTACACCAATGAAATTGCATTTATCTAATAAGTGAGGTCTCTGTAAAGATTTTATTCATTTTAATCCAAATAATTATGTAATTCACTCAGAAAAAGAAGTAAGAAGATTAACTGCAATCATAATTTTTGGTGATATCCCAATGAGTAGGAATTTATGTTTCTGACATTTCGTGACTTAATGCAAGTCACTTTTTAAAAGTGAACAAATAAAAGAATCAAATTAACACAATTTTAAGTAGTAAACAAGAAACAAAGCGGAATATTTTTAGATCAAAATCTCGGGTTTAATTTTTCTGTCCATAAAACGAAAATGCCTGAATTGGCGATCAATGCACAAATCGGAAATCTCTATGATCAACTGAGTACACTAGTTTTTATATCTTTAGAAGATCAAAGTTGGTGTAAAGCTAAACTAGTGGATATAGCACACCAATAGACCAAAGCAGAGAAGCATATTAAATTCTCAGCATTTCAGATCACTAAAAGAACTATGAATAAATCATAAAACTGTCTTGTCGAAGCCTGATTAAGGATCAAATGTGGTTATTATGAATGAGTGTGATTATGAATATAAAACGTTATTCATCCTCAGTGATGAAAGATGACGAATTTGAAGTTATTAGTAAACTAGGAAAAAAAAGTAAACCCAAACCTGGTGTAACCGTTAGTTACAAATAGTCCCGATAAAGAGGAATTTTCTGAAACTTTTCGACAGTGAATATTCTTTTTTGTATAGATTATCTAAAGTCAATAAACCAAGCATTCCTTTACATCCAATTTTATTGATGTGTCGATCGTCTACATATATCCTGGCAATTCGGTTGACTAGATTGTTGGATACTAGTCTCTGAAGGACTTTTTTTGAGTTTCCAGAGTGTTTAGTTGGTATTAATCAAGGAATTCCTTGTTTACAATATACCTTTAAAAACGGCTAGTGATATTCCACGTGAGTGCACTTTTTGAACATCCCTACGCTGCCTGTTACTTTAGAAATTCTTAAAGATTTGTTACTTTTATGCACCAGACCGATCGTGTTGCCATGGGTAGTCCATTGGGACCATTATTTTGTTCATGGCACATGTTGAAAATTGATTGAAAATCTAACCGAAAAATATGTACCTTCCTTAGAGATATGTGTACGATCTCATAATTAACTATAATAAGAAGGAGGGTATGAATAGTTAGTGAAATAAACTCAAATCTCTCCAAAACCACATAAATCGTACATATGAAGAGAACTAATTTACTTTACTACACATATTTATACATCTGAAGTTTGTGATGATGATAGTGTTCAGGAGAACAATCAAAGCTCCACAACCAAAACATACAGCTTAGAGAACGAAATACCACCACAATATTTATAAATTAGACGGAAGACAAGTTAGGAAGTAGAAATTCGTACGTACGTACATCAGTTCAGGTTGCCATATCACAGCACAGAGATGCCACTGACAGTTTGAATCCAAGAGTTATAGCGATACCAGAAGTATTAGCAGTAATGGAGAGGATTAGGGAGCGAAAATATGATTCGAGAAGTATAATTCAGTGAGATAAATTTAGAAGGAGAAAGATAGAGATTATGAGGAATTCAGAAGGTTAGAATTAAAAAGCACACAAAAAGTTGATGCACCTGCGCCATTGCAAACGATTCTGAGCCATGTCGTTCAAGGTCTCTAACCATTGGTGACTTTCGTCCCGCGGACCCCAACCAGGTAGTCTACATCTACCAACATGACTCAGTCCACTTGTCAGTGACTTCATGGGTTTCTGCCATGTTTTGGTTTGGCGGCCCCTAGCTTTCTTCCAATCTACTCCTGCACTGCAAAACATAGATCGACGAGGCAGTCGGTGGTTAGGCATACGTAACACATGTCCCAACCACCTTAACTAATGAAGTTTCAATACTTCATCCATTGATTTGCCGTCCCTACCTAGAACTCGTTTCCTAACGACAGCATTGCTTACTCGGTTGTCCCAGGATACACGAGCAATGCTTCGGATACACTTATGATCGAAGACTAGTAACCTACGAATGTCCCGTACTCTTAACGGGCATGTTTCGCATCCGTATAGTAGGACAGAGCGAACTGCTGCCCAGTACACTCGTCCTTTGTTTAGCAAGCGGATATCTCGCCCGCGCCATACGTGACGCAGGTTGGCAAAAGCCAATCGAGACCTCTGTATCGGAGCTGAGAATTCGTCAGTCACCAGGCCATCAACACTGATGACACTCACTTGATACGTGAAGCGGTCTACACGTTCGACTACTTCACTCCCTATCACTAGTTCCGGTGAAGTCGCACGCCAATCCTGAAGCAACACTTTGCATTTCGACTGGGAGAACCGCATCCCAAACATGCCTGCATTGTTGCTCAGGGTGGTTAGAAGACTTTGCATTTTGCCAGCGTCACAGAAAATAGCATGTACTGCTATTGTTGACTGAATTTCTAAATTTCCCACTTGTATGGGATTATTAGGTATTTTGGAGTAGCTTGACTGTTCTTTGGCAAGGGCTAAGATATCACGAGAATACTCCCCAATATAGAAGGCATTACAATCGACATAATCAGGTTTGTAGACGCACTTTTGTGTGGACCTAAAAGGGATCTAAAACTACATGGATTTAAACGGACCGCACTATGTAGAACCAAATCGATTATATCCACATCAATGAAAAGATCAGAAGGATAATAAAGGATGCAAAAAAAAGATGACAGCTTTCAGTCACTATCTGATGGTGGTCAAGGTGAAACTGCAGTTAGAAGAGCACGGGAAAAGTGGGCAAACAGGATCACGATGACTTAATATAACCTTTCTTCAGGATACAGACAAACTTAGTGAACTCCAGATAGCTGTCATCAATAATTCCCAGTCCTTACATGCTCACTGGTAAAAGAGAAAACTACCGTGGAGAAAAACTGGAATGTGAATAGAGAAGCAACCATTTCGACATTCTAGGTGCTGGGCCACAAGAAGCATTAGCACAAAAAATTGATATCTGTTGATACTCTGGATAACACTTGATAAGGGAAAAACAAGAAGGCAGCAATCAATAACAGCCCGAAAAGAGCAGAAAGAAGCAAGGCGTAAATTGAACACACACAAACAAACAAGCAAGTGAGGAGAAGCATTAGAGCTAATAAGCAGAAATATTTAAATCTAGATAAGACAGCAACAAAGCTGCAAGAGAAGCAAACATAGGACACCTGTGCGACTAAATAGTTCACATAAGGTACCCAAAGAACTTTACAACTAGAACCATATTCTTTGTTGAATGTACAGGGTTAATGGCGATAGCAGAAAACTGTCTTGATAAAATTAGTACTGCAGTCTATCGAGTTTGACAACAAAGAGGACAAGCGACTCTCGATTATCGTTTTTAAGTACAACCAAATCTATCATGACACCAGATAATAAACCTTCAACAGCTCAGTTTTATTTCAATCTTATAGGGAACTAATTTACTTAAAGTTGATCAAGCATAAAAAGTAGAAAAGTTAACAGTTTAATGAAAATGTGTTTGGACACTTACTATACTTACCAGAAGACTGTCGAAATTCGCTATTTCCGCACCTAATACATCACATCCAGAAATGTATGTTTTATTACATTCTACTTCAGATCGCAGCTTTCTAATACGATGTTTTATGTAGTGAACCTTCGATTGAAGCTCTATTAATTGGAGTTTGGCATTTAAATCAGCTTTTGATATACCACCTTTCCACTGAATGCACTAGTAGGATAACAAATAAAAACAACTAGTCCATAAACTGTGATGGCACTTTTATTAAATTTGATTCTTTAATTATTGTAATGACGAAGCGAGTCCCAACAAGTTACTTGCATTACTATTAGCATGAAAAAACTTAATCCCCTTTATGTGTAGCGATCAAATAGGTGACTGAATAACTCATAAACCAATAAATTAAACGAAACAAGAACAGCTTTGACAACATTCCCTAGGCTTTAGATTGCAAACCGATGGTCTCATATGACGCAATAATTAAGTTTAGGTCTATGGAAAGAGTACAAAATATGGTGAATGAATGTCGACTTGCAATCGTCAACGATTATACCGTCTTGTTTTACACTGACAGCAATAATTGAGCACACGCTATACAAGTTCAATGACAAATTATGTCTGATAACAAATAACCTTTACCGTAATCAGAAAATATTCATTGAGGCTTCAAAGTACTCAATGAATATTAAATCACCGAAAATCGGTACAACTACAAAGTTATTATCGGGATATTGTGTACAATATAAGATAGAAAAACAGTAGAATACGTCAAGGCTACGTGAAGTCATTATAGGATTAAGAAAACTGTTAACTTGCCTTGAGATTTTGAAGCTCAGATTGAAGGGAAAACAAATGTTTTCTTTTACTGCCAATTTCAAGGAAACTCCGTATATGAGACAGTTGTTTGTCCTCAAAAAATGTATATTGAGTACTGAACTTACAACTAGAACATCAGAACTAGCCCTATAATATAACGAAAACTCAGTGATAAGAGTGTGCTGTAAAGTACTTACTTGTTGTGATTTAGGGGTTTATTTCTTATATGTTCAAGCTCTTCAAAACTTTGCATAACAATTAGTCCAATACTTCCGACCAAATCCCTGGTTTTTTGTGAACCATATAATTCATTCACACTAGCCTGACTCAACAACAAACGTCTAATCACATACTGATATAAGAAAATTGTAGAAATAAAGATTTACTTGGTTCAGCAAGTCCTTGACTGATACTTTTTGACCACAATCTAAAGTACTTCAATGGACAAAAGATAATAGTCAACAGACGATCTACTTTCTTTTCAGCAAGAAATGAAGCGATTTTTCGTAAACATTTGATTCATATTTCAGTTTCGCCAATTGATTATTAACTTTCCCAACTAAAGCTTCCATCAAGGTTGATTGCATAAGCAAATGGTTCATACTATCCTCCATTATGCTAAAAACAAAGTAAGTTCATACAGTCATGTCGGAATAGGAAGCAGATATAAGACATCACACTCAACACCACGAAAAGAATTTCGAACCGCCTTTGGCAAGTTTGCGACTTGCCTGAAGCTACCTTGAGTGCAAAGGAGCAGGTTGTGAGAATTGAGTGAGAGAGGTGAGCTAACAACTCAGTAAACATGTAAAATGAAGTTACATTTAGAAGGAAGATAACTGATAAGATTCAAAAACAGCACAAGAGAGATTAAGACAAAACAACCAAATGTGTTACAATTAATATAGCCGCTTCATATTATTCCGACGGCAATGACCTACAATATTTCATTAGCCGAATGTCCTGAAGAATTTCCGGTGTAAATCGTTCGCTTACTTTGAGTTTCCATTTAGATGATTATCCATATTTTTAAGTCAGGAATGAGGAGAGTGAAAGGCATATATGAACAGTAATTCGGTGGATGAGTGAACTAAGCATGTTAGCTGATATTAGACATCCTCTACATGGCAGAAACGAGTTTCAAAATCATTAGGTCAAAAATGAGTGCGTCGTATAGTCGGGAGCGTCGAAGTCTTAATCCTGAAAATCCGGGGCTCACGTTCCGACATGATTAACGACTATCCATAAAGCTTGATGACTGGTGATACGTTTAAGGAGTGGATATTCCTGATCAGGAAACTCATAAAAAACATTCTTACTCCTAGTGCTCCTATTATAGCCTAGGCTGCTAGCCAGCAATCTTTATCCCTCTCTGTCCTCGGCCTCCCTATCTAGTTCTGCCCAATCGTTATTCATTCTTTTCATGTCTGCTTCCATTCCTGTGTCCAGTATGTTCTTTGGTATGCTTCTTCTCCTTAGGTCTTGAGAATTAAGTTAGGGCTTACCTCAAGATGCAATAGGTGATTTTCACTATGTGTCCCACCCACCTCCAGTGCTTTCACCTAATTTCTTCCTCCGATAGAAGATGGTCTGTCATCTCTCATAGTAGGCGGTTGATGTCTGGCCCACCCATCTGAAGAATCCTATGTAGACAACTGTTAATAAACATCTGTATCCTATGGATGGCGGTTTTGGTAGTTCTCCAAGTTCCAGCTCCATCCAGTAGAACTGTCTTGACATTTGTATTGAGACTGCTGACTTTGGTGTGTGTTGAGATCTACTGCTGCAGAGACTGCTGCTACACTGGTTGTCTTCTTCTACCTTTGTTGTTGTGTGTGGGATAGGAGAACTAGGTGATGTGCGAAGACCGAACCGTCCATTTGCATCCGAACTGTCTATTGAGTTCTGCGCTTCCCCTTAGATGTTGATGTCTTCATAATCCAGTCAACCACCAGAAGAAAAAGAAAGGATGAGAGTAAGAAACCTTATCTGACTCCGGTCTTTATTTGGAATGAGTCTGTGAGCTGTCGTCCAAGCACCATCGTGCAGTTTAATGCATCATAAGAATTCTGTTAGATGTCCATTATTTCCTTAAGCAGGCCATAATATAGGAAGAGCTTACACAGTATCATCCCATCCACACTATCAGATACTTTTTCTTAGTCAAAAAAGTTGATGTACAGTGGTGAATTCCATTCAACTGAATGTTCCACAAAGATCCGTATTGTTGCAATTTGGTCGGTACACGATCGATTTTCATGGAATCTAGCCTACTGATCTCGAAGTTGGACGTCTACTGAATCTTTCATTCTGTTTGACAATACTCTGTTTAAGACATTCCCTGGCGTCGAGATGAGAGTGATGCCTCTGCAATTCTGACACGTGCTAAGATCTCAGTGTCCTTCTCACTAGTTTCTTGTTACTAGATCTTTTAATAATTTATTCTCAGATAACGAACATGGTACAAGAGGCGCGCCAATTTACAGGCAAGACCAAAATCTTTCTGAATAGAGTGTGTACCATCTTTGCACTCACCGTTATGTCTGCTTTCAGTGCTTCAGCTGGTATGTTAAATGGTCTTGCTGCTATCTCCGGTTTCTTGTGGGTCAACAAAATCTAAGAGCTTTATATGCGTCGCTTCGATGTTTGGCGGGTTAGGTAGGATGGAACATAAAAAAGTTCTTCAAAATGCTCTATTTAACTGTTTCTTTATTCTTCGAGGTCTAGACCGGTGGTTCGGGTTTACAGTATTTCCTAACAGTAATTCCTATATTTGCTTCTCTTGCTGCTTTGTTGCTGTCTTAGCTAGATTTGTTTGTTGATAACAGATTTATGCTTTTGTTTCATTATAAAGCTAGGTCAGTGTAAAAAGGCTTTTTATGCTCCAAAGATATAGTAGGTGTCACTTCACTGTAGACTTTCCATCGATTTATGACTTTTGAAGGGTAGAAATTCTCCATCAGTGTTTTGTTTAACAACGTCATTTAATTTTCAATAACATCACTTGTACAAATGCGATCAGTCATATTGAATATCCCATTTGTCAAACCAAATTTATATTGAACTGGTCAATATCTATGATAACTTAGGTACATTGACCTGTCCAAGTCGGCATTCTAAAAATGTATGGCTTGATTGACCTGTCTCAGTCAGTCAGCTACAATGTAGAACTTCCTACGTACATCAGTTAAAGGTTGCTATACCACATTAGCACAGGGACGCAACTGCCAGTTTAAATCCCATAGCGGTAGAGGTTTTGAAGGTACTAAAAATAATGAAGATCACGGTTTGAAGAGATTATTCAGGAAGTATAATCCAGTGAAATGAATTTGAAAAGGGAAAGATAGAGCCTATAAGGAAGTCAGAAGATTAGGAACTGAGGGTAACACACTATACATCTTTCACCTATCTAACTTACCCTCTCCATCCTGTCCAATGGATCTTCAAAATGATCCATTCTTATCCTCTACACTGACTTCCGTTCTTCGGGAATCGTCGAGATCATCAGTGATATCTACCATATTCTACCCCGCATGCTTCTCTAACCACATCAGTCTCTGAGTTCCTCTGTCCGACTAACTATATTGCTCACAAATCAACTAAGCATAACTGTCAAGTCTATATTCCTACTTCCACCTCTTCTCCAGAAAACATAACCTACAACCCACCAGATGCCCATCATGCTCCCCTAAAAGATAAATATTCACCGTACGTATCACTAATGCTAATTAATTCCCGATCTGTAATAAGATGACTCAACTATGCTCACTGGTAATTTTAAACAATCCTTCACTAGTCCTAATTACCCATGTCCCAGACTCATACCTTTTATTAGGCTCTCATGAACTCGTTCGCGGTGACCGAGGCTCTTAAAAGTGTGGTGGCTGTTGTTACGTCCAAGTTTTGCTCCTTCCTGTTTTGAAGTACGGTGTATCAATCTATTTGCAATTCACGAACCCAAATTTATAACAAAACGAATCTCCAAAGTAGGTACCAAAGTTTATTGTTAATTCACAAATAATCGACTAAGTGTTGTTCGTCAATTACGATTAGACGACCAATGTCGTTCTAACAACAATAATTATAATAATTACAATCACCTTCAATTTTGTAGGTTCCTGGGGCAAAAAACTGCAAGCGAACAAACCAAGACAAACAGTAGTCCAAAATGGCCGAAAATAATTCAAACAAGTTCATAAGTTAAGTAAAACAAATATACCCAAAAAACAGTGAAATTAATGATATTTATATAAAGGTTTTAATCAGCCAAATGTCTTCATTTCTCCCCTAACACTCATGACCAAAAGAACCTTGGTTCTTTTCACCGACAAAAATAGGTAATAGCAATCCAAGTAGGTGCATCACAAGCAATCAACAACAAACATTCAATATGCCGACAATCTCGTGATCCCTAGGACTTACACCAGAACGCCTAGGGATCCGAGTAAGCTACCTACCATCTAGCGCTTCACGAAGACACAGTTTACGTATATCTCTCACTAGGATCCCCTTTCTCGTCCTCAGTTCTATCTGTCTCACTAGTCTATCCTTACTTGGTATCACTCTCTGTACTAGACCTAAGGGCCACTTGTTTTTCTCAGAGAAGTCAGAACATATCATTACTAAGTCACCTTCTCGTATGTTCCTCTCTAATTGTGTCCACTTGTATCTACGCTGTAACAGCGAAAAATATTTCTTAGACCAACGTTTCCAAAATACTTGCGCCAAGTAACTCGCTTGCTTCCATCCCTTAGAATACCTGTCATTAGATAGAGTGTTAGTAAATTCTGCAACATTCTTTCTCAATAGTAATAGTTTTGCTGGTGTTATTGCATCAAGATCCTCCCACACTCCTCCCCAATGACTAGCGGCTGGAGGATTGAAATGCCAGTCAATTCCTTTTCATAGTAAATCAGAGTGTATACGTTCCTGTACCCAACCTTGAAGACATTTTCTTAATTCACGTTCAGCTCCCACCAAATTAGATCCATTATCACTATAAATCTCTTTTGGATAACCTCTTCTGCCAACAAATCTCATTAGTGCCATGATAAATGAGTCGGTGGTAAAACTATATGCCACCTCCAGATGCACAGCTCTCAACCTTAAACAAGTGAATACACAACCGTACCGCTTCTCAGTATTTCTACCATGTTTAACCATAAGGGGTCCAAAATAATCTACTCCAACTGATAAGAACGGATAGTCACCACCTTCCATCCTGATCGCAGGTAATGTTGCCATTAGTTGTTGAATCGGATGGACGTTCCTCCTTTTACAATAAACACAATCCTTTATCACTCTCCTCATGGCTACACCACCCCTCAGCACCCAAAATCTTTGTCGAACCGTTGCCAATACCTGTGTAGCTCCGACATGTCCCTCCAAAACATGGTAATACCGTAGAATCAAATCTGTAATTGTATGCTTCGATGGTAATATTATAGGATGCTTCCTCGACTCAGACCAGGCACTAATTTGAAGTCGGCCACCGATACAAAATAATCCGTCTATAATTATTGGATTTAAGGTTCGTAAGGGTAAATTTGTTATTTTCACTTTGCTAATGGTATCAGACGACAACATTTCAATCCCTTTCCGTAATACTATGCTTTGGACATATCAAATTAAATTTAAACATGCTAAATCTAGCTCATCAACTCTGAGCAGACCCACCTGTAGAGACAGCTCATTTCTGCCAGAATACATTATTAATAAATATCGCTTAAATCGGATCAACTATGCAACAGCCTTAAGTAATCTAGTCCAATCTGAATAATAATTAATAAGTAGATCAACGGTGGATTCTCCAACCATTACATGCGTGGACATTTCCTTCTTAAATTCTAAGAGATGGGGTTCAGGACCTTGTACATCCGCATCAGGCCAATACTTCTTTGACTTCTTCAAAAAATGTGGTCCCTCCT